ATTGTGTTTCTGCTTCAGGGTGAATACGGCAAGGCTAAAGAATATCACGAGAAAGCACTTTTAATGAGCAGTGAAGCTGAAGACATAAAAAATGAGATGGATTCTCTGAGTAACCTTGCAATGACAATGCTGTTGGAAGGCAACGTCGATGAAGCTAAATCGCTTCTCCTGGCCAAAATTCACAAGTTTGAAAGAATCCTAAGTTTCATGACAGATGCGGATGACCAAATAAAGATATCACTGTTCGACGAGCACGCGCATGCCTACCAGTTTCTAAGTGTACTATTTTCCTTCACTCAAAATCCTGACCAAGCACTTTACACTGTAGAGCTTGGACGAGCAAGAGCCCTAGCAGACTTAATGTCGGTACAGTACTCCTTTCCAAAACAAATATCACACAATCCACAGACGTGGATGGGCATTGAAAGCATTATGGAGAATGAAAGAAAGTGCATCTGTCTATACATTTCCTATGCATTTCACTTCATACTTTTGTGGATTATTAAATCAGACGAACCTATACGTTTGCGAACAATAGATGTCAATACCTGTTTCATTGACAAAGTCTTTGTAAGATATGTGGATGAAATGTTTGACACTGAAATCGTGAGGCAATTCCATACCTTATCTCCAGAGCAGTGCGAGGATCGATCCTGGTTTTCTTCTAATACCAAGGAAGACAGCCTTGCTGCCGCCCGCCTTGCAGAAGAAGATGAAGTCAAAAATCAGCAACCCATTCCTACTCTTTCTGAGTGTTACAATATGATCATTGCTCCTGTGGCCGAATTCCTTGACGAGGCCGAAATTATTATTGTCCCTGATCGCTACTTTTTCAAAGTTCCGTTTGCGGCGTTACAAGATGAAAATGGAAAGTATTTATCAGAATCTTTCAAGATCCGCATCGTCCCCTCTTTGACAGCACTAAAGCTAATTCATGACAGTCCATCAGACTATCACAGCCAGACTGGTGTGCTGATAGTGGGAGATCCTGATGTTGGTGTGGTGCTGTACAGAGGAGATGTTTATAAACCGCCAAGATTGCCTTTTGCAGAAATGGAAGCTGAAATGATTACACAGCTACTGGACGCTAAATCTCTAGTAGGAAAGCAAGCAACAAAGCAGGCTGTTCTTCAAAGCATTAGTTCCTTTAGCCTCGTACATTTTGCCGCTCATGGGAATGCTGAAAGAGGAGAAATTGCTCTAGCCCCTTCACTTGCCTCTAAGACGCCTCCAGAAGAAAAAGACTACTTACTGACAATTCACGACATCTCAGAAGTTCGACTTCGAGCCAAGCTGGTAGTTCTAAGCTGTTGCCACAGTGCGCGTGGACATATCAAAGCCGAGGGAGCTGTTGGAATCGCACGAGCCTTTTTAGGATCTGGTGCACGCTCGGTGTTGGTAGCACTGTGGGCTATAGAAGACAAAGCAACAAAGCATTTCATGAGTCGTTTTTACGAGCACCTTGTTCTTGGAGAAAGTGCTAGTGAATCTCTTCACGAAGCCATGAAGTGGATGAGAGCTAACGGCTTTCCGGACGTGGGACAATGGGCTCCTTTTATGCTGATTGGAGATAACGTGTCCTTTGATTTTGGAAATTAAAGGTAATTTTAAGATTACTTGAAAACGCTTATAAGGGAACACTCTGCAAAACGGCCTTGGAGGAGTACTGTAGTGCATTCTTTCGAGATTTTATTTCAAGGAAATCTTGACTATATGCCTTTTTTAATAGAAATAGGAACAATTCTAGAAG